AAAAAGAAGTAAAAGGGTTGGACCTATATTTTTTGAATTTAAAAACATTCTATCACAATATAAACAATAAATTCATATATGGTTAGTTTAAACTATTATCCTTAAATTAAAATGGTCAAATCAAGACTTATGCTTTAATTATTGACTTAATATAAAAATAATTTATTACTCAACATTTTTATGTATCTAGTTATTATAACTAACAAAAACACATAGTACCTTTTATGATTTATATTAATCTTCTACTATAATTCTGAGGTGCCAGTGTTAATTAATTTGCCACATTGATTTAAAAAAAATCCTAAATTAATATTAGAGTTCACCTAGGGCTCAGAGTCAACCTATACCCTACTATTTAAACGATGATGTTCCTAGGGCTGCACCTACCACATTTTTCCCCTATTCTTTGTTAAAATGAAAAAAAAATTCCCAATTTCTTTGTTAAAATGAAAAATTTCTTGAAGAATGTGTTTGAGGAGGTGAAGGAGGGTCTTAAAACTGAGCAAGGGCAAAAAAATATTGGTGGTCGTATTATCAGCTTCATCGCGTGTTTCGGAAAGAACATAATCATGGCTAGTGTCTTCGCTATTGGGATGTACCAGCTCTTTGAGAAGGAAAAAAACAAGGCGATTCTGAGGACAGGGAAACGAAGGACAAGCAACTGAGCAAGCTGATGAGGCTTCATGAGAGCAACGCCGGGCAGCTGAAGGAAATCGAGACTCAGGGGGCATCAGCCACAAGATGATGCTCACAAGTCTGGTGGAAATGGTAGGCAAGCGTAAGTAGTCTTTGAGTTCATTCGCTCTCCCATCTATCTTAGTATATTTCTATTTGGTATGAATAAAGTGTGGTTTCTATTGAATGGGATGAGTTGATATATTGTTTATGTATCTATCCAGTTGTTTGCTTTGCTGAACTCTGGTTTATGAAGAAGAATTTATGATATTATGATGCGTTTATTTGTTTTTGCACGTTTTTCATGTGATGAATTTTTTTATTGGGGAAACTTTCCAAGAATCAGGATAGATTTTTTATTTCAAAATTCTTTTTGTTGATTTTAAACTGTGGATTTAAATCCCAGTGGGCTCGATTTATCAATAGATAAAATCAAGAAAAATTAAAAAAGAAAAAAAAAAGAAGATAGCCTTATTTAACATATTAAGTACTCAGACGCTATTTTGCAATTCCTATTCCAATTTACTCTCCAGCTGCCCGGTGTTGCTCTCATGAAGAAATCCCAACTGCCCGGCGTTGCTCTCATGAAGCCTCATCAACTTGCTCAGCTACTTGTCCTTCGTTTCCCTGCCCCTCAGAATCGCCTTATTTTTTTCCTTCTCAAAGAGCTGGTACATCCCAATAGCGAAGACACTAGCCATGATTATGTTCTTTTCAAAACGCGCAATGAAGCTGACAATACGACCACCAATATTTTTTTGCCCTTGCTCAGTTTTAAGACCCTCCTTCGCCTTCTCAAACACATTCTTCAAGAAATTTTTCATTTGAACAAAGAAATGAGGAAAAATGTGGTAGGTGCTGGCTCTGAGCCCTAGGGACATCATCGTTTAAATAGTAGGGTATAAGTTAACTCTGAGCCCCCGAGGTGAACTCTAATATTAATTTAGGATTTTTTTTTTTTATTTTAAATCATTGTGGCAAATTAATTAACACTGGCACTTCGGAATTATAGTAGAAGATTAATATAAATCATAAAAGGTACTATGTGTTTTTGTTAGTTATAATAACTAGATACATAAAAATGTTGAGTAATAAATTATTTTTATATTAAGTTCAATAATTAAATCATAAGTCTTGACTTGACCACATTAATTTAAGGATAATAGTTTAAACTAACCATATATGAATTTATTGTTTATATTGTGATAGAATCTTTCTAAATTCAAAAAATACAGGTGCAACCCTATTAGTTTTTTCTTTTTTTTATTTTGTATTTTCGGGTACAAGCAGCCTTTTTATTTACTTGAGTAAATAATACACTGCACATTCACACTGCCACTTGAAAGCTAAAAAAAAAATACACGCCACAAGCGTGTCTAGAAAATTTAATTAAAAATAATTATGCTTTTATTCATTGGATGTTGATTAAACAACACAACCAAGTGAAGTAATGCTACATTTTCAACAATGTAGGACATCAAATAAACCATAAAAAATAACTATAAAGTTTACAATGGATTATTGATTACGTTATTTTCGTTTGAATAAGCGTTGTTGGTTAGGTCACTCCATCGTGGCCGTTGGATTGATTGTAAACGGCGGTTACAGACGCTCCAATTTGATTTAAAAGGTAGTCCGATAAATTTGAGTGAGGAGCCTGCTTTTTGTGGGAGAGAATTGTCATTTGAGACATAAAAATTACAATTTTGTGATGGGGTTTTATTTAAATCAACTTTAATTTAATTTAGAGAGTTGAATAATCTTTGTACTGTCAAATAAGATCTATAGTGGGACTTCTATAAAGTAATATAATAATTTCTTTTGAGATAAAGTAACTTTTAAGGTCCACATAAGCATTGAAAGGAAAAAAATTTCTTTAGATAAATAAACCCACCTCATAAATAAACAATGACAATAATATATTACACAAATTATAGTGTAAGATAAACTTAATAATTAGATGGATAGACTAATACATAGTTATACAATAACAATAAATATTGTACTTTTATTCATATTGTTTGTCATATTTCTATTTATTTTAATTTTTTAAGTATGACATTTCAAAAACATCTTATATCCTACGGAACCGTTCCTCTCTCTCGCGATTTTTTCCTCTTCTCAAACCCTAACCGTCGTTCCTCTCTATTCGCCGCCGATTAACCTTCCCCAGCGACGGCGGGGCTTAGCCAGCGATCGCCCTTGACCGCTCGTCCAGCCTTGGTCGTTTGCTCCCCGAAATCTGCTGCTTTTCTGCTGCGTTGGCCCTCAAGCGACGGCGAATTAGAGGCTCGAGATGTCGTCCCCGCGTTCGGAACCCTGTCGGCGATGGGTGGCTTCCTCTCGGACACCGGCGGCCCTTCGATTGGAGATGGTAAGCTCCTCTTTTCTCTGCTTTGTCGGCGTTTGGAGCTTCCTGTTGGTCGTTTCTGCTTCTCCGGCGGGGCGTCCCGTGGGTTGTGGTTTGCAGTCGGGATTGTAGATAATTAAATTTTGAGGCAATAAAATGGCTACAAGTGTCAAATTCCATGTCATGGTCAATTTTTATAATTTTCTATTTTATTTAGGAAATTAATCAAATTTTAATTTCTAAATTAAATAGTTAATTAATTGATTATTTAATATATATTGTTCACCAATTAAAGAATGCCACATGTCAATTTCCTGGAGAGTAAAATAAATAATTATTTCTTTTAATAACAAGTATGCCTTACAATATATTCAGCCAATAAAATTACAATATATTGAAAACAGAAAATGCTCCAGTAGAAAATATCAAGACCATGCCTACCAATGAAACCCTTATATACTTCTGTTTCCCACATATATAATGCAATAGACAGTTTATGTTTTTAAAATAATATGTTTTGATAAGCAAATTACCACAAATATAAATAAAGCCTTTTACTCTTGCATTTTGCATTTTCAAAATTATAACAATGACAGTTAAAAGCATGAAGAAAGTAAGAAAGATCCAGCACAGCAAATCAGGATAGAGTTTAAATAGCTCGATAATTAAGAAGAAACTTCAACAAAATCCGACCTTCAAATCCTTGTCAGGTACTGCAAAATAACGGGCAGACTATCATAAAAGGTTCACCTGATGGTGGCACGCCGAACAGTAAGCGTCTTATCACCTACTTTTAAGCCATTTAGAGCCGCACACGCAATATATGTGACTGACGGATCCTCAATAAAAGAAAATAGTAAGGATGTGAGCTAATGAGGGGTATGGAAGTCAAAAAATATAGAAAATCTGGATCCCAGTGAAAATATAATTATATTAAAAAGAACAAAAAAAAAGAATCTGCTTAGATGATAGAAAGGAGAAGTACAGGAGGTGCATACATACAACAGGAAATTGTGGGACAAGAATGCATCACGGAAAACTTCAGGCTTGGATATATGATTTTTTTTATCTATTTTGGATTTTTTTGGTTTGTTTGGTTCATTTTGAAAAATACGGTTGGTTAGATGTTATTGGAATTTTGAATTTATATTAAACTAATATTTAAAATAAAATAATTAAAGTTGATTTGATGTAAATATAGGAGAGTGGTGATGTGAAGTGATGGTTAGTTAAAATTATATGACTAAAATGATAGATTGATATTATTTAATTATATTGATAATATTGAGGATTTAAAAAAAATGATTGGATTTTTTTGGAAAATCTTGTATCCAAACATGCTCTTACTGCTTTAAAAGCGTAAAGAAGACGAAGCACGACAGATGTTCTAACACCAGCTTTTGCATACCTTGTAGATGCAGAATCCATATCCTTTGGAGTCTCCAGTATCTCTATCTTTAACAAGGTCAAGTCCTTGCAAAGGTCTGCGGAATTGATCAATTAGAACATATTATTTCAGAGATAATATTTCATACGAGATACAACAAAATATTTCATACCCAAAATGTTCCAACAATTCTTTTATCTGAGCTTCAGAAAAATAGTAGGGCACCCCACCAAGAAAAATACGATCAGCTCCATCAGCTTCAGTAGACATTCTAATAATAAGACACCAAAAGGGAATTAAGTACTGTGTTAGAAAAACTACAGTGACAAATAACAAGTAATGAACAAAGGCCGAAGACATGAGAAGATCAATGAGAGACAAGGGAGTTCATAGAAATTGTAATAGCATGATCATTGGAAACACAAAAGCCCTGAGGTGCTGAAGCAAAGTTGGGAATCTGAACAATTTATGGAGTAACAAATTCAAATCCAAGCAGTTTGAAATGGACAGCCATGTGATGAACAGAAGAAAAGAGTCACGGTAGCTACCCAGGTGTCAGTTCAGCAGCAGCTAAATTCAGATATGGACCCGGTTGGCTAGGACCAAGGCATGCCGCCTGGGTAAGACTGTAGTCTGTAGGCCTTTTGACTCGCACCGCCCTGTTATTTTATTATTAATAAAATGACGAGCAATGAGAAATTTGGAGCTCAGATATTCACATGTGCCCCTTCAAGTTATGCTCTCTAGTAGCAAAAAATAAGTTTACTCTAAGAAAGATTACATATCGAAACAAGAACAGTACAATCAAGCAGACCATAAAAATTCAGGCATGTGACAGCTATATCCATTCTTGTGCATGCATATTCTATAATATATAATGTAACTCCTGTTAAAGCTGAGCAGTGAGGCCTAATTAACCTTAAAACTAAGCATGACGATTCGGGTACTTGTGAGGTCGAATAAACCAACCTTTCACTAAATGTGAGGAAAAAGACGGAACAAAACGAAACTGATCATAAATCTTGGCCATCTGGAGGTAGTTATTTCTTGATAATTGCATACACTAACTCTAGATAAGAAAATTAATGTCCAATTTCCAACAGACGTGTCATTTATATTATGGATAATCAATTATAAATAAATCCAAAACGCAAACCTAGATCCATCCCTAGATAAAAAGATGTGTCATCTGCTTTATTTAATGGGAAACATACCATGAAAGTTGCAACAAATTTGGGATGCAAAACAGATGGCACCAGCAATGACAAGGTAATGGGATAATGGTGGATAATTAGAACAACAAAGAAGGATGCTCAACAAACCTCAAAAGCAATTCCATCAAGCACCATAGTGTTGCTTGCCTCTTCTACAGTTTTCATCTCCACAAATGCAAATTTCTTTTCATGATTAATGTAGACATTCACGACAGCATCACTTGACATGCACACATTCATTGATGCTTAGATGAATAGAATAAAAGATTACAAGCATACAGTTTTGCAAAAAAAGTGTTGAACGATCACAGACCTGGACCAGCTGAGTTTCCACCGATAGCGTTCATAACATGGCTGAAAAACCTGGAGACTGTCTGCACCAATTGAAATAAATAAGAAACAAACTTAACTGAAAAAAGCATGCAACAATAACTTGAGCCGCCTATTAACAGGCAGAAACACGATCACAGTAAACAAAAGTTAGTTTGAGGAGAGGACATGGAAATGACATGTGGATGAGTAGTATTGTTCCGAGGTTTATAGTCAAATATGCTTTGGGAAGAAAAGTAAAAACAAGAACATAGATATGCCAAGCACAATTTAATAAAATGAAAAGAGAAATAAAAGAGAGGCTAGCAGCACAACACTACAATGACAGAGAGGGGACGGTAATCGTGTACCTGCTCATTAGCCAGAGGAGGGAGGCCACCAACATACACTGTACGCGCAAACCTCGTTGCCTATTGAAGGACATACCCATAGAAACAAGTAAGTTCTTGTTGAATTTAAGATAATAAAAGAATATACTAAGAATCACATAGTTACCTGCTGAGTTACTTGAACTGGCAATGTTGAAACTGAACCTAACATGTTAACCTATCAAGGAGCAGAATGTCTCAAGTCATATTATAAAAAAGAAAAATGTCAACGGTTGAGAGTAATATAATGAATTCAATAAACACCACCTCCCGATCTGGTATACCTGAGTTGTCTGAGAAGCAAGCATGTTTGGCAGCACTCCAGAGACTGATTGAGAAGCCACAGAAGCTCCATTTAATTGTTCTGGACAATTAAGACAATGAGAAATAAGATATCAGCCACAATGAACACGAGGAGGGATGAAAAAAGACATCTATTGTAACAACTCAAATGGAATTCACCAGTAAGCCTCAGAGCCTGTAAACATACAAAATGGCCATACTGACTCAATAGATCAGGTTATTGAAGACAGAAAGAAGGCCTATTCTTACCCAGTATAGTACACGAATCAGAATCTATAATATGAAATAATTTTCACCACTGCATTTGGCTTACACTTCAAGTCTACCAACTAACAACAGTTGTAGTGGAAGATGAAAAGTTCCTGCTACCGGAGCATCCATCCCTCTCAGTCTCTCAGACCCATGAAAAGCATGGCAGGACATCAAAGCCAAACATTGCTCTCTTAACGTAATGATGGCAAATCAACAACAACAAAAAACACACACAACAGCCAACAACATAATGATGATTTTAGTATAATAAGCATCAACCAACGAATGAAATATATAAGACCAAAATATTGAGATGCCATAAATGTAGGTAAGAAAGCAATTCAATCAAAATGTATAGAAATATGCTCACAGGCTAACCTGATGGATTTGTCATAACAGTAGTAACAGGTGGCGCCACATCAAAACCACTTGTTCGCTTGCTGTAATGAAATAAATTAGAGATAAAAAATTGTACATGTAATCAATAAATATGAATTTGGTGAACACGACATTATAACTAAAAGAAGGCAACTCAAATAAGATATATTGCTGACAGGCGATTAGAGGAATTAAGGAAACTTGAGACGATTAACACATTTGAAGTAGTGATATCAGTTTTATTTGTACATACAGCATAACTGACGAACAATGTCATAGTGCACTAAGAAGCGTTATCCGGAAAAACATGCTATTTATAAACTACAAACATAAGACCATACACAAATACGAAAACTGGTGATCACAAAATATATTATACATTTAACTGAAGCCATCGAACATACTTCAAGAACATGGCAGGCTTCATGAAATGTGGCATACCTAATGGGTTTATCATCCGATCGGCTCGGTGACCTCCATCTATGGTGGCTTTCTCTACTTTTACCATGCTTGTGATACCTGTACACCATGCACCACACAAAATAAGAAATCCTAAGATACTTGAGACAAAAGCATGCTAAATTATCAACAATAATTAGTTAAAAGCAACTGAAGAACAAATAAAATAAAATATAAAATCCAAAGAGCCAGCTGCTCATGTTCACAAAGGTAAATTCCAAAATTAAAAACAACCTGCTAGATTCACGATCTCCTCTACTTCCATAATCCTCATCACTGCATCTTCTCTCACGTTTTCTTGTAATCGCCCGTTCATCTTGCTTTCGATGAGTAAGCAGGACTAGTATATGACTGGAGATGTAGATACAAAAGTAAAGCATTCTTGTGTAGTTCTCAAGCATGTAGCTACGAGTTAAATTTCTACTCTCACCGATGCAAATATTCAGAAATATGCAATGACTATGAAAATATTCAGCAATATGCAATAACAAGTTCAAGTGAATTTGTATGCATGCATCCAGCACAAGTGAAAGTACACAGGTGATGAATCATTTTGTTATTGTTTTTTGTTTCATTAAGCAAATTTTTTCAAGAAAATTAAAAAAAAAAAGGTTTAAGACTAAATTAGTAGGTGCCTACATCCTATAAACATTTTTTTAAGCTCAAACTCTTGAGGATGAAGTCCAAATTTTCATTTTCAACAAAATGCATATTTATGCAAGTTATTCATAGTATATTATTATATTAGTCAAACATGATCCAAAACCAACAAGCATGGGCCAATGATAAGAACAAAGCTGTGGTTTCAACACCACTCAACAAAGTCCCAAAAAAAAAAAAAGGTAAAAGTTACTAAATTTTGTTAATTGCAAAGATACAATGTTCACAATCAAACAATCCAATGACAAACACAAACCACAAATCAACTAACAAAAACTTTATTGGCAGTTTTATAATAAATAATAATAATAAATATAATTATATGATAATTATATTTCTAAGAAACAAATAACTTTACACCGAGTAAAAAATAACAAACTAGCTTGGATAGGAAATAGAGAATTACGATGCAACGATTAAATAGGATAGCATAATACAGTTATTTCTTTTTTCAAATAACGAGACATGATTTGATTTGATTAGATCCAAGGAAAAGTGTAAATACGGTCTTAGTCTTAACAAGTGACAAGCTTTGTTAACAAACGAAACCGAAACAACCAAAGAAAGATAAACAGAAATCCACTAACATATTTCCAAACTCAACTCAAGCAGGCGCAGCCTCTCCGCCCTCTTTCTTGCCCTTCCCTCCAGCTCCAGCGTCTCCATCATCTCCAGACTCTTCCTTTCCAGCGTCTCCATCTCCTCCACCCTACTCTTTCTTTCTCTTCGCAACCACCTTCATAAGATAATTTTACATGAATAGAATACAACAATAGACATAAAAATATAATTTGCAACAGATCTACTTAAATCTAATTAAAAACTTACCTAATGCAGCATCTCCATCACCCGCTGAAAATGGGCCTCAAATTCCGTTCGCAGCTTCTCGCGATTTTGCTTTTGGAGCCAAACCAACTCTTCCAGTTTCGCATTCTTGTACTCAGAATCTTTCTTGGCCTCATATTCCTGTTTTTTGTCAATCACCTGGTACTTGACAAATGTAAACAGCGTCACTGTTCCAAGATTCTCGTAGAGAAAATACTCAACACCCACCCACATTCTTCGGTCCCCAAATCTTCTAACCTTCCAAATCCTCTCATTCTCTAATAAATGGCTCCCATCCGTGCCTCCGCCTTCCGCAGATTTGCTCGGAAATTCACGGACAACACTCATCTCAATACCCCAAAAGAGAATCCGCAACCACACACTCCCATTGGAACCCAAACAGAGACCACCCCTCCAAAAACCCCAAAAGATACCACTCTTCCAAAAACCCCAAACGAAACTCCAAAAGAGACTACTTCGCATTCTTGTACGCAGAATCTTTCTTGGCATTCTTGTACTCAGAATCTTTCTTGGCCTCATATTCATGCTTTTTGTCAATCACCTGATACTTGGAACAACGACGCTGTTTACATTTGTGTTTACATTTGTCAAGTATCAGGTGATTGACAAAAAGCAGAAATATGAGGCCAAGAAAGATCTGAGTACAAGAATGCGAGTACAAGAATGCGAAATAGTCTCTTTTGGGGTTTCGATTGGGGTTTTTGGAGGAGTGGTATTTTGGGGTTTCGTTTGGGGTTTTTGGAGGGGTGCTCTCTTTTGGGGTTCCAATGGGAGTGTGTGGTTGCGGATTCTCTTTTGGGTATTGAGATGAGTGTTGTCTGTAAATTTCCGAGCAAATCTGCGGAAGGCGGAGGCACGGATGGGAGCCATTTTTTAGTGAATGAGAGGATTTGGAAGGTTACGAGATTTGGGGGACCGAAGAATGTGGGTGGGTGTTGAGTATTTCCTCGATCGAGAATTTGGAACAGTGACGCTGTTTACATTTACATTTGTCAAGTACCAGGTGATTGACAAAAGGCAGAAATATGAGGCTAAGAAAGATTCTGAGTACAAGAATGCGAAACTGGAAGAGTTGGTTTGACTCCAGAAGAAAAATCGCGTGAAGCTGCGAACGGAATTTGAGGCCCATTTTCAGCGGGTGATGGAGATGCTGCATCAGGCAAGTTTTTAATTAAATTTAAGTAGATCTGTTGCAAATTATATTTTCATGTCTGTTGTTGTATTCTATTCATGTTTTAAAATTATCTTATGAAGGTGGTTGCGAAGGGAAAGAAAGAGGAGGGTGGAGGAGATGGAGACGCTGGAAAGAAAGAGTCTGGAGATGATGGAGACGCTACAGCTAGAGGGAAGGACAAGAAAGAGGGCGGAGAGGCTGCGCCTACTTGAGTTGAGTTTGGAAATATGTTAGTGGATTTCTGTTTATTTTTCTTTGGTTGTTGTTTCGGTTTCGTTTGTTAACAAAGCTTGTCACTTGTTAAGACTAAGACCGTATTTACACTTTTCCTTGGATCTAATCAAATCAAATCAAATCATGTCTCGTTATTTGAAAAAAGAAATAACTGTATTATGCTATCCTATTTAATCGTTGCATCGTAATTCTCTATTTCCTATCCAAGCTAGTTTGTTATTTTTTACTCGGTGTAAAGTTATTTGTTTCTTAGAAATATAATTATCATATAATTATATTTATTATTATTATTTATTACAAAACTGCCAATAAAGTTTTTGTTATTTGATTTGTGTTTTTTGTTTGTCATTGGATAGTTTGATTGTGAACATTGTATCTTTGCAATTAACAAAATTTAGTAACTTTTACCTTTTTTTTTTTTTGGGACTTTGTTGAGTGGTGTTGAAACCACAGCTTTGTTCTTATCATTGGCCCATGCTTGTTGGTTTTGGATCATGTTTGACTAATATAATAATATACTATGAATAACTTGCATAAATATGCATTTTGTTGAAAATGAAAATTTGGAATTCATCCTCAAGAATTTGAGCTTAAAAAAATGTTTATAGGATGTAGGCACCTACTAATTTAGTCTTAAACCTTTTTTTTTAATTTTCTTGAAAAAATTTGCTTAATGAAACAAAAAACAATAACAAAATGATTCATCACCTTACATCACCTGTGTACTTTCACTTGTGCTGGATGCATGCATACAAATTCACTTGAACTTGTTATTGCATATTGCTGAATATTTTCATAGTCATTGCATAGTGCTAAAAAAAAAAGCACTTTACCTATTTTATCACCTCAAGTCAAATAGGTTCCTGAAAACTACAGAACTCTTCAACCGAAAATGCCAAATCGAACGCTCTATCAAAGCCGCCGACAATAGTAGCCAACAAAAGTCAGTACATCAACTTTGATTATCAACATAAACAGGAAATGAGCACAAATGAAAAAAAAAGGAAAAAATAAAATGGAAATATATCTTGGACAAAAACTAACCCTTCACAAACTTGTAATTGCTACCGGCATTAGCTTTCAATATGACACGCTCGTCGGCCCAAAATATAATAAAAAGATACTTTCAAAGTTTTTCTTAGAAGATTCTCAAAATTAATATAATACAGGTAAGATGACAAAGAGTGCAAAGGGAAGGTAAGCGTGATTTAATGTCCCAACGACATACACCAATAGAAATGCTTAAGCTGAATAACATTATGTCCAAATCAATTTGTTGTCTCAGGGAAAAATAGAAAAAAGCCAGATGAATTAATATTAACACCGTAGAACATACCTAGGGCTTTTTAGCAGGTAGAAGAATGAATTAGGCCAGGAAAATCGAAGATGCTGCTATGACCGATGGTGTATAAAATAGCACGTTTCCAGAATAGATAACCCAACAATGTAGTTGGCCAAGCACTCCAATTGAAGCCTAGAAAGGCACCCACAATATTTATGCAACTTATACACGACCTCCAATTCAAATGCGTTAGAGCATATGTGAAACACTTTAATAAAACAATTGATTCATGAGATAAAGAATATGAGGTTGTTCAAATCTTTATACCTCATTGAGACCATGTGCAGCGCGGACAAAACTCCTATGGAAAGTAAATGGATAGTGAGTTAATATATCATTCTAAGATGGGTTCAATAAGATATAATTATATTAGGTCAAGAAACATTTGACTGTGGCTACTCTCATTTCAAATTTTAGGTAATTTAAGACATCAGACTCCATTTGAGGAACCTGAAAATTTTGAAATTCTTAAGATGTTCAGTGTTCTGTAGGAATATCCTACGTAAACTAAAAGTAACATCAGAAAGAAATATAAAAAATGAAATACCTCCTCCTTGAAATATGTGTTATCAGTTATGCAGTAGAATTCTTCTGCCTGAAGTGCACAAATCTTTTCATATTTTCTTCAAGTACGCATTCATATTATTATACTCCCAAGTCAAAAATTGTTGTGGCACCAGATGCAGGTAAAAAGATTATAAACAATGATAATACATGAAACATATCGAATAACAAAATTAAGACGCAATCATCATGCAAGCCACACCAAGCAATTGCAACCTTTTGCCTATCCATGACATTTCCAGAAAGATAATGGTCTATGTTGTTAACAGTTAAATACATTGTGTCAGTTACAAGTCTATCCCTCTGCTACATGTATTTCCAAGTCGATGTCTGACGGAATGTTTTTCAATCAAATTTTTAAACATAACACAATTGAATTATGACATATGAAAGCATTTCTCATCATCATCCAAAAAAAGAAGAAACAAACTTCGGTTCTGCGATATGTTACCTCAACAAGCCAATTAATAAGAACCACACGCAGTATGGCATTAATGTCTTTTCGCCCTCTTTCTATGAAGTTAATGGCTGGCCTTTTCTTTGCCTGGAGACAAATAGACAAATTAATCAATGAACAATACACAAAAACAGTTAGCAATTTAAAGGTCTAATACAACAAGTCTTATAAGAGAATAAGGCTACAGTCATGAACACAAAAGGATAAAATACGGATGGTCTAAGTGCTTATAGATATCACAAGCGACTGTGGGTCATCCAAATTCTCATCAACATCCACAATCTTGTCGTCTGATTCTATTGCCGCTAAAACATCACGCTTGCATATGTTTCCTGAACACATCAAGGACCAAATCAACTTATATTCCGAGTCTTTGGAATATCACAAGTACATAAAATATCAAATTCAAACAATAAGTGCATTTAATGATTGTCAAAAGTACAAAACCTGCAATTTCCTCCGTGCTTTAAAATGCAAAGGATGTTGGACGCCTTCCGCTAGGTGAAATCAACTGCAGCTATATTATGGCTATCCAAGCATTCAACACCTGGGCTCTTAAGGGATCATATAAGGATAAAAATGTAACAATTTCATGTATTTAACATCCGGTCTCTAAAGAAAAATAAAAATCATACCAGAAGATTCTCAACGATTGCCAATAAAATGCAGAATTCAACTTTTAAGGGCAATGGCCAGTGATCAATTAAGCTAACTATTAAAAAAACATACAGCTTTAATACTTCAAAAAAAAAAATATACAAATTGAAAAATCACTTGTAAATTGAACCCGTTGGGGGCGGTGGACCCGACGTCGCTGCCGGTGAACGTCATCTACTGTTGGGCGACCGGATGAACTGGAGGGGTGGATGCGTCAGAGTAGGTATTGGATAGAGGCGGAGAAAGTGGCAGCGACGGCCGTCGAAAGGAGGCTGTGGCGGCGGTCGAGAGAAGGCGGTGGCAGAATGCAATTTTTCGGATGACAGGGAATTGAGGAGGCATGGATCTTTGATTTGGTCGGGGGGGCGATGAGAAGTGGTGGAGAAATGGGAGTTTTGGGAGAGAGAATAGAGAGAGCGAGAAATTTGTGGTAGGGTTTGGAAAATGAACGCATCCTCTAAACAACTTCGTTTATATCCATCTAAAACGACGTCGTTTTTAAAACACAAAAGAGGGATTTTTAATTATGTGTGACACGTGTCAGAATAGAGAAGGCCATCACTTCCTTTTTATATATACTAGCAGGCTATCGCCGTGCACAGCACGGCTGGCCCACGTTAATTGTTTTAAATATATATTTGATAAGTAATTTCATGAACATTTGAATGCACTTGTAATATGTGAATTATGTTGAAAGAAAACAAATAGAATGAAATATGAGTTAACTACCAAAAGAATAACTATGAAAAGCTTATAAAATAAAACAAACATCACATGACATTCCAATCTAAATATTTAGTAAATGCAGCTAATTATTGCAATCTAAAGATAAAGTGTATTTCATAGACATCTACATTCCATAAAGAATGCTTGTTACTCCACCACCTTCAAAGATGAAAAGTTCAACAAATATGAAGCTCACACTCCCAATGTGGATTTACTCTTCATTACCTCATAATTTTCAAGTGGATGCAGCCAAAAAAATCCTCCACTGCCATTGCCGATTATAAACATCCAGACACCTCCACGTGGAAAATAGAAAATTTTATCGCATCAAGATGACCTCAGTACAATGTAAATAAAAAAAAACGATCAGCTGCATCCCTCAGAATGAACTACGACCCACCAATCAGCTTATACATGAATAACAAAAGAACCCAAAATAGGACAATAAATATCATGAAGATATTTCAATTGAAATTGACATTACATATTTTTTTTTTTCGGCAGACGTAGTTGTCCATTTTTCATTTAGCCCAATCAATAGTCTTCTCATAACGTACAGAAATTCAGGCGTCACTAAACAATTCATTCTACAGAAAATAGACAAAAATTTTAAAAACACACAAACTACAATTGTCAAAGTTAATGAGGGTGCACCAAATAATGCAACAGTAAAAACACCTTGTTCTTTGATAAAAGACTTATAATTCGGACATATGTTTGGCCAAATTGCTGCTAATTATGCATTTCCAAAAACCTGCAACTTTCCTCTTTCTTTATCCACCTAGAAAGAGCAATGCTTCTAGCAAGGTTTACCCTAAATTCCAAAGTAACCAAAAAATAAATAAATAAATAAATAAAGTATAATAAATATTTAATTTGAAACCAAAACATTCAGTAAATTAATGTATCTTTACAACAACAAGGCATAACCATAAGTGGTTATAGGAAAAATGCAGTGACATATTCGTGTATCATATATTATTCAAAAAATAATAAAAAAATTTCACTTGATTTGTACGGAGTCCAAACTGCTCCCAACAATTTATATTAGCCGGATTAATTCTAATACAATATCCATCGTCATTCTCTTTTTCTGTTTCTTTTTTCTTCACCACACGTCTATCCCTTCAATTCAGTCCATGAAAAGGGAAAAAAATAAATCAAACAAAAATAAGGTGAAGAAAACTTAGCCTGATACTGTAGTCGGAGACCTACCATGTGTGGATAGATAACACTTACTACAAAGTGTGAAGAACGTGGATGTTTGAGCAGCTGAATATCAGGGATTCGAATCCTTCTCTATCATATATATAGAGGTCATTCTGTAATGCAACCACCAGGATTAGTTAAAATGTATTTAATTTTTGACGATTGTTGGAAAAGCATTTGGATATGTTGATAAGTTCCTACGCCATATTAATCATTTTGGTGCTCACAAACAACACATAAGCAGCTGAAGCTACAACATTTAACTCTCACATTAAGTGCACAGAAATGCAATCAGCAAACAGCAAGGGTGAATTGAAAGTGTATCATTAGGGCATTCATAATTGAAGGCTTCTTTTGGATTCGTACGACCCTCTCTACGCCGGGCGAGGAACCTGCAAAATAGATCAAGATATAGTTTACTAACCCTAGACACGTGTTTAAAGACATGGTTAAGACCGTGCACGAGCCAAGTCCAATTTTAATTGAAGACAATTGAGAAATAAGCAATTGAAGAATAACATAGTAAATGAATAACCTTGAAATATATGTTTACGGGAATGGATCCAGTACCTTCGGCTTCATCAAGCCAAGCTTGGTATGTTGTTTTGAAATCTTCAAAGTTCGTCATAGTAGGAGTGCCTGACCTGTGAAGCATATATTCATATTAAAGAGGTTGACTTTCCGGACTAAAATCTTAAAGCATTAATCAGAATGTTAAAGCAGAGTTTACCTTCCCTACCAAAAATACTATAAGGAATTAAGAATATTTTGCCGAACACATCAACATTACAGGTAAAAACTAAAACTAAAACAAAAACAGGATAGCCAAAAAAAACAAAAACAAAAAAACAAGCGGTTTCACATGGAAAACAATCAACTACTACAAAAACGAAGAGAACACGGGCCTCTCAACATATAAAAGAATGTGTAGAAGGAGACAAAATCCTGGATTGTTAAGATGGAAGAGTGCTGATTTGAGACTTCAGATGCAAGATGTGTAGGCTCTTTTAAGAAAATTTTGATTCGTTATGAGCAAGTCCGGCAGCTATAAAGACCAAATGTATTAGTTATTATTTACTAATTTCTTCTCAACAAAAATACAAAATAGAGGGAGAAAATGATTTCAAGCAACAGGCAGTAAGAATAAATGCGAGAAACTAATCTTACTTATTTTTAGTAAGCCTCTCGATACGAACTTGAATGGTGGCATTTAGCAGTGTCCTAAAGGCATATATACCAAGTTCGTCATAAAATTAGACTATAACTTCTTGAAAAACATGTAAATATCTGTGATCCCAGCCCGCCCCAGCTAAAGAGATCCCGCCTCCTCCAACTCCAATCCCTACCTTCATAAACAGAATATTTATGAAAAAGTAATAACTTTAGATCCTCAATACAAAATTGAATATCAAACCCCGAAAATGTGAAGTATTAATACGAAGATAAAGATAGTGACTAAAACTATGGCGGCTCAGCCTCCTCTGCTAAATATTCATCCTCAAAGTCACCATCATTGTTTACAAGCTCATCCGCAATCGGCATAATAATGTAATATATCATATTTTGCGATATAACATAGGAAAATCAAAAACTATTACTCTGAAGCAAGCCCACATCCGCTTGAAATCGCATATGTAATCCCTCAGACACATAAGTTATGAAAATTAAGCCTGGTGACTGATCCCACCAATTCAACCAAATGACTGATCCAACAGGAATACATTAACATAATGAAAAAGGCCATGATTACATATTTACATTACATTTGATGCAATCGATATGGGAACGGAGAACTCATGCAAAAAGGCTTTTAGTACCAAACCAGAACCAATAAACTTTGTAGCAACCAACATCTAGAAGAGATTATGACAGATACTAACGGAACCTTGACCCCTTTGGTCACGATCTTTGAAAAAACTTCTTAAAAACAAAAATTTTATAGTTAAAATTTAAACTATGTTTGAAGAAGGTAACAATAAAATATCAAATATGACATAAACTTAAATTCTAATATGCTAAATTCAACTAAAGTGAAAGTGAGCAATAACTTGTTTGTAAAAGACCATGGTCTAAAAGTATCTAGAGGGCGGAAAAATCAAAAGACGATAAACGCGCGATTAACTTGAATTATGAGTACCTTTTTCAGAAATTTTGTTCTCACCCTTACCTGCCGTCAAGCCGGAGGTGAATATGGATGGGATTTCCGGGACTACCCTCGCCCTTCTCGTCGGTGCACAAGGCGTGGGAGTTATAGTCGGTCTTCTTGACAATATCGACGAAGGGGCGGCAATTTAGCTAGGGTTTCGTAAGGAAAATGAGATTTGGAGGCTACAAACATTGGGCGGAATGAAAAAAAAAATGAAGAGATTTGCAAAGAAAATAAGAGTGGCAGATTCAGATTTGAAGGAAAAAAAATTTGGATGGAATTTGTCTCAGAAATTGAACGCATATGCTGCCGCAGGGTTGGAGAAATAAGGTTCACAACCGACGTCGTTTTGTGGAGGGCGACGTGGCTTCATAATAAAAGGCGGGACACGTGTCAGCAAATGAAGGTAGGCCTTTCTTTTTATAGATAAGAGAACTAGTTGTCTCACGCCGTGCACGCACGGCGGGCTCAAATTTAGTCTAAAAATATTGTCACCTCAAATTCAGTTTATAATGCATGCATAATTATTTGTTTAGTGAAATTATCATTTGAACTTTTCCATATATTTTTTTCAACTTCTTCAGAAAATTTTATACAACTGCAATTTTAACCGCAACACAATTGAGCATCATATTAACCAATCTTTGCCCGCAAATGTATACGAACTATCTCAAATGGTTTAATACTCTAAGGAATATTGATGATTTTGATATTTTAGGTACCGATTCATCCTAAAATCATCTAATTATTTTATTTAGATTTAAACACCAACAACTATTGAAAAAATTTATTATACAAAAGATTGCAACTTTTTTAAAATTTGTAATGATCTTGACGACGCTCACAAAAATATGTCAGAATAAAAAACGGACAATATAAGTATGAATTAATGATTCTAGTTTTGGGCCCTTTTTGTGTACCATAAGTCTAAGGAAAAACTCCAAGTCAACCTAATAAAATCTTCTACCGGCCTGGCCCAATCTGCTCATTTGATTTTTGGGAAGTACTATATATAATACATTAAAATGGAACTGCCAAATTAAAATAACACATTAGTTGAGATATTAAAACCAACCAATATAAATTGCTGCTCCAAATCCACCTAAAAAGCTGGAAGCAATAAGGATACCTTGGTCTGACCACCTACTTTTTGTTTGTCTACTGCTAGGCCAATCCGCATAGCCTTAGCAGAACACAACATCCAATTTATCTCTGTCATTGGCACGCAATTGTTGAATTTCGTCAAAAAACCTAACAAACCCATAGTCGTTTAGTTCATGATCCAACCCATCCAACTGAGAAACGTATTTTGCCATCTCATCCCACTCAGCCATGTTCCACGCAGCAGCCTACACTACATGCAGTAATAAATGCTATGCACATCTCGACAAACACATTTTAACCATTGCTTTAGTTTATTCTTATATAAACAAAAAGGAAACTAAATTTCTTTATTAAGCAAACTGGATACTAAAATGACTATTGGGATTGCTATTCAGTTTAGTTTGATTAGTATTAAAGTTGTGGAACACAAGTTCGAAATGTTATCCTAGGCAATTTGCAAGAACTCCATCGGCTAAAGCAAAAGTGGAATGAGGTCCACAATCATTAGAAGCCAAAGACAAACCATTTGAGCCATTTAATCATGAAATGTTCAAACAACCAACAATGTGGTATCAAATGAGAAAGTAATGCCTATCGTCTCTTCTCTAAACAGATATTTCATATAATTTAATTACAATAGGCGAATGAGGTCCACCAGAAATTTAAGAATCAACTTTATGCATCGTATTTCAGAATATGTATAAATCAAACTATATGACAACTTACTTTACAAAGTGCTCTGCAAAGTAATCTAATACTGTTAAACAAATGCAAGGAAAACAAATGCAAGGAAAGTGTAAATATTTTAACGAAATTAGCAAAAGTTACTTATTTGAGTAAAAAGGAAGAAAAAAGCAATACCATTACCCCCAAGACTGCAGCGGTCCAGAGAATACAAATCCAATGATCCACAGCCTGAAACCTGTAATAACAAAATAGCATGTCAAATTAAAAAAACACATTAACCAAGAAATATCAATAAACATAATCACAAAAAGTTGTGAGAATGGGATGTATGAACTTACTTCTGTCTTAAATAAGAAGTTTTCTCTAAAGGACCTAGGACCACTACCTCATTTCCTAGGAATCCAGGTAACCTCAAACTCAAAAGGTCACCTACAACTGTCAGAAACAATATATTAAGAAGAAGTTGCTTCAAGTGAAAATGGCTCAAGCTAAAGAGGCACACACTCCTATGGTAACTTCATATCAAATGTGCAGATATATTAGAAATATTAGAAATGAGTCTGTTAATGCAACACTTTATAGAAGTGTGCTAGGTGCATTGCAGTACATCACCATAACCAGACCAGAGATAAGCTACTCAGTTAACAAACTGAGTCAATTCATGAGAGCTCCTAGACACTTACTGGAGAACAGTGTGCTCAGATACTTGGTTGTTACCTCTGCCTTTGGCCTCTCAATCACAAACTCATCAAATCTCTTCCACTACACACTGTCCTTGCAACAAAATAATAAGAACAAATTATACCATTATGAGTTTCACGAATCCTCCTCCAAGAAGATGCTTCAGAAAGTGTACCTAAATTCATTACAAAAAATTGTCGGAAACAACCAAAAAACAATGTTGTACAGGTAATTAATAATTTAAATTTTGGTGCACATTTGCAAACATATTTGGGCATAAATCCAGATTGCATCATATATCATTCAGTTGCTGCTGAAAATCAAGGGAAGACAAATTGAAAATGCTAATTTGAAAGGAAATGGAAGTAAAAACAGATAAAACTTAGAAGAAAATGAGTAAATTCGACTCGCGAGTCACAAATTCGACTCTCGAGTCACTAAAAGCAAAATAAAGCAGCTGAAACAAAAGATAATTTACTCTTGGCCCATGGTTGGTTGCTTGGGGCTGTCGATTAGGCACATCGTCTGATACCTCCATCATTTCAGAGCTACTGAGCTTATAGAAAGTGTCATGAGCTCACGTTATAAATGGCCGCATTATATTTTCTTCCATAACAAAAAAATTAAAGCTACAAAATTTCAACCATTGTAGTCACATGCACACAAACACAAACAAAGGAGGACATAGAAGCATTAATAACCTGCATGAAGTGGGTATCCGTATTCTAATCCGCGATAGTCTAAAAAAAAACACCCTCCCTGGCATCCTCATCAATCATCAGCTCAAGCCTGAACATCTTATGAATCCAGTCTACGAACATGCTGGGCTCACCCAAGTTGAAGCCTGATGTGTGCTGGGACGTTTCAATTAGTACCATACTGGGTCGAGAAAGAAAAAATACAGAAAAAATAAGCCCTACCAAATAAAAATTGAAAAAACCGAAATCAATAGGGATATATATTAAACGAACATGAAAACTCGAAAAAAATGCATCAGGATTTAGGAGTTGGGAAATTTGAATCTGAAACTCACATTGAGGAATATGATATCTTCAGAAATGCACGGAGGTGTCTCTGAACGTTCCCGCATATAATTTGGGTAGAACTTACTCCTTCCTCGAATTTAGCCGCTAAGTCCCCCGTCGGTAGGGTTGCCGATTGACGACGATCTCAGAACTCAGTCAACGGCTGAACACAATCACCGCTCTCCAGTCTCTCTGCCTCTGCTCGCCAGTGATCTCTGAATTGGATTCCTTTGGTTTCATTTGACATCGGTTGATGATGGGTAGGGTTTGATAGGTGACAAAAAAGGAGGTCTGGACAACTTTTTGGCAGAAGAGAAATGAGGGGTGTGAAAAATAGTTGACCGATTGCTTAATAAAACATAAAATCAATTTATAAAACTAATCATGTTTTTAGGTTTCAGAAATCTGATTTTTACCCTCTAAATGGTAGTTGTGCCCCACCTAAAATTCCTGTCCAGCCTCGCCAGTGGCCCATCAGGCTGCAGCAGTCTCTCTGTCACCATCTTCCTGCTCGACTCCGACACCTTCCTTATAGTCTCCGACCACAAGCGATTCAGTAGTCGTTTACGGTTGATATCTTTGCATACAGCTTTATATCACAACAAATACCACAACATGAATATTTACTTGCAAAATCAAATAATGGATAATTTAGATGGTGCTGTATGAATAGCTGAATTTCTTAACAACAAAAACAATAAATAAGTAGAACAAAAAAAAGTATCCTTCACACATAATAAGCTGACAGTTTGCATGACAGTATGCATCAAAGAACTAATGAAAACTTTGTTATTCTAGGGATGGAACTCAACCAAAAATTGAACACCAACAAAAACTGATCAAGCTTTAAAATTCCCAACTTCTCTAGAGATTAAATCAACAAGAGAAACCGTACATCATATATAGATATAAAGAGAATAGAATTTTGTTCTGAACGAAAAAGGTTATAAAGAGTGTTAATCCTCAAGTGGCCGAACCTACCAATACCAAATAGTGAGTGGCTAAAATAGATTTTTGCAAATATTGATGGATATATATCACAGACTCAGAGAGCTCAGCCCGATTAGTGCTTGCTTATTCAGTAATTGTAGACTCTTTCCGTTATCGGCCCAATGTGACCTCACCACATTTAGACACAATCTACAAAAATCAAAAACATTTTTTTTTAGCAAAAAGATATTTTTTGAGGTGGGTTTCACAGGATCTTACAGTTTAGACCTGAGATTTGTCACAACGGCATTGTGGCTCTCCGCCAGCGGTGAGAGGTCTTCTCGTCTGTGGACGAATCCATTATTATAGTCGAAGCAGATGATGTCGAGGAAATCCCGTAGGGATTCGACAGCGACGCGCCTGTTGCAGCGGCAACACTATTATTGAGTGGAATCGAGGCCCGATTCGAAATGGGATTGGGTTCAGGCCAAGGAAATGAAGCTTTTTTGAGCCACACTCATGCTCAACTAACAAGCAAAAACAACACAATAAAAAAACCATTTACAATATTACAAAATCTTCACCAGGATAAAAATAAAAACATTTTATGAGCTTGAATTTTGCACTCTAAAAAACTCAAGTCTCAAAATTCTGCGATAAAATAACGTATCGCCGGGACACCAAAGTCGTGTCTCAAAATCAGACACGAAAGTGCGAGAAATTTAGAACAGAAACTAAAGTTGAAATCGAACGTAGCCGCCATTTTTTAGACTCGATTGATGATAAAGTATCGCCGGGACACCGTCCATCACAGCCGGAACGTACATCTTAACCATTGTTTCCGGCATGTTGGTCATCCCTAAGCAAGTGCTGCAGGCGCGCCGTACACGCGCCTTCAATTCCGTCAACCATCATCACCCTCTGCGTAATCAAATCCAACAAGCATAGTGAACTCCTTATCCCCTTTGCGATTTCGTCTCTAATTCAGAAAGTGAAAGAATCTGAACATACCTGGGAAAAGAAACAGACGGCGAGCATTGGGTTCCCAGTCGGGGGAACTGGTTGAAGGGATTTCTGCCAAGGAGGAAAAAACCGATTGATGAGGAATTTCGGTCAGTCCGCGGAGGTTAGGTTTTAGATTGGAGAGCATAACATGGTCCTTCAATCTCAGGGTCCTTCTTCAATTTCTTTTAGTCGGTACCTCTACTTAGTCGTGTAGGTAGCGTGCGAGTAAAAATGGGAAAAGTGTTTGTCAGACGTCTTCTTCAATCTCAGGTCCTTCTTCAATTTCTTTAGTCTCTTTAGTCGGTGTAGGTAGCGTGCGAGGAAAACTGGGAAAAGTGTTTGTCAGAGGAGCCGCGAAGGTCAGCACAAAAAAGGTCATAGTTAATGACCACTGTACCACAAAAAGCACAACAAATTAAAAAAATGAAAAAATAGACACATGTATGTAATTAAATGAGGATATTTTTGCATGAAAAAAAAAAAGACATTTAAGTAAATTACAAAGTGGACACATGTCATCTCCTAAGGGCACTAAAAATGACACGTGTCAAGACCACAAAAAGTCTAACTTCTTCATATATAGATAAGAGAGATAAGACTAGTAAAATTCCCGTGTATTACACGGGTGTTGAATTAGAAAGTTTTTGTAAAAATATTAAATTTTTTATTTTTTTAAAAACTAAAATAATTTAATTTTATATAAAAAAAATTACTTTTGGTTTTAGTTAAATTGTCAAATTATATTTTTTTAATCATAATAATTAAACACCCGTACATCAAATAAAAATATCAACCCGTGTTGAATATTTTTACTTATATCATATAAAAATATCGATATTATTTACTATTACATAAGTATAAAAATATATATCTTAAATAAATAGAAATAATATGGTAATATGTATATGCATAAGTGTATAATATGTTTATTTAATATTAAGTAAAATAGATTAATTTTTTTTTACTTAATTAGATGCCTAATACATCAAGTGTCGTATCAATCGTGCTTCACAGTTTTTTAATTTTATGTGTAATTTTAGAATTTATATAAATAATTATTTATTTTTATTACATTGACAACATACCAATTAGAATTGAAATAAATATTATATTTAAAAGAATACATACCAATTTCTATTACTTTATAATATAATTTATAGTTTTATTTGATATAATTTAATTTAGTTTGATAAATAAATTTAAATTTTATTTATAAGGATATATATTACTGTTTTGTATTTTTATATAATCATATATAAATAAATAGTAAAATATAAACGGACTTCATAATATCAATTCAAATGCAACACACTAATTAATGGAAAATACACTGTATTTTTTTTCTTGATAATATTTACCATATTTAATGGATATTATGGGAATAATTTTATTATTATTATAAAGATAAATATAATTTATTTATTTTATATATACAATATGGATGTCAAATCGCTTGATAATATTTACCATATTTAATGGATATTATGGGAATAATTTTATTATTTTTATAAAGATAAATATAATTTATTTATTTTATATATATAATATGGATGTCAAATCGAACTCATCAAAAGATGATTAATTTGATTTATATACATGTAAAACCGATAAGAAATACAAAAGTTATTAACTTTGAAACTTACGGTAACAAATTTAGCCAATTGAAATAAATAAGTATTTGAAATGACATGCAACATGATAAGTGTGTTAAAGAGCTTGAAACATGCACCGGGGTATATTATTTTGGAGTTTGTTTTCCACAATAAAATTTTAAGTAAATTTGCAGGCATCACTATATTATACTCTTATCAACAGTATATTTATTATTTAATGTAGGGTCGTATTCTCTCCACATTGATTGCAGATATTTCAGCTCAATTGTGTGATTTTTTTTTTTTTTCTTTCCAACCTTCTACTAGTTTTTTTGTTTTCTTTTGAAAACAATAACTTTGAAATTCGTAAATTGTGGTAAAGTGTTGCTTTTGATGACCTGATTGTCCCGTGGATAAGATTTAATTTATTCCTTATTCACTCTTATTTCATAAGAACAATAATAATGATATATTAACAAAGACCTAGGAAAAAAAAAAAAGAAAATCAAATGCATGTTCACTGTTGAAATTCCCCATGCTTAGCAATGAGCAATCAAAGAAAAGGTCGTTCATTTGTTGACCAATAATCGCTGTGAGTCGGTGCTACATGTTTTACGAGACTGTTGGGCTGCCCGGACCATTTGGTCTCGGTTGATTCCTTTAGACCAGGCCAGCGAGTTCTTCTGTTGCCTATTAAAACCTGGCTTAGGCAAAATCTGATTATAGTGCATATATGGGATTTATTCTTGATTGGAACAACATGTTTGCGATTGTTGTGTGGCGATTATGGACATGGTGTAATGATAGAATCTTCAACCAACATTTTTTGAGCAGTGAAGCGAAGTATTTGGAAGTTGTTCGCGTGAAGGAAACTTATAGTCGGGCGGTTGAAGCCCATGCCCGTGTTGGGGCTAATTCATATATTACACGCTTCATTCATTGGGTCCCGCCGGACACGGGATGGGTTAAGGTAAATATTACGGATGGGGCCTTCGATAACTCTACAGGCTTGAGCAGTGCCGGTGGTTTGCTTAGGGATGAGCTGGGTAGATGGATGGAGGGCTTCTTTATGAACATTGGATACTGCACCATTACGGGTACCGAGCTATGGAATCTCCTGCAAGGGCTGAGTATGGCGTGGGACTTGGGGTTTCTCCAAGTTATTGCAGAGGTGGACAGCCAGTGTGTGACGAAATTGATTAATGGCACGGAGGATAGGCTTGGGACCTGTACAGCACTGGTTAAGGCCATTCGAAGCCTTTTAGAATGGGATTGGCGCATTAACATTGAACACATTCATAGGGAAGCTAATTTTGCGGCGGACCATATGGGAAGCTTAGCGGCTCACTCTTCGGTCGGTTTGCATCGGATTTCGTCTCCCTCCACTGGCTTGGGAGCATGGCTTCAGCATGACTTTATTGGGCTTTCGTATCCCCGTCAGGTTCTAGCCTAACCGTTTGTAGGGCCTCTGGCCTCCTTCGNACAATTTTCTTTTCATTGTTATAGTTTGAAACGATAGTCTTGGTGGATATAGAAAATATAGTGAGTAATAATTAAAATTAACCGAGCGGAATATTGCTACTTTATAGTTGAAGTTATTTATTCAATATAAAGTTACCAAATCATCGAGATTAGTTTGTGAACATGAGTTTCAATATATCTCATCAACATGCAACTTTGAGAACGAATGAGCAAACTCACAATTATCTGGACGGTTAATTTTTCTAAATATGTAGTAGATTTTGTACATGTTCCTCCAAAAACATCCCGAAAAACCATGTACTATGCGCTAATATTATCGTTTGCACAAATAGATTGAGGTATGAAGTCGAGTCTTTACTGACCTATCCAAGCTTAATCTTATTGATTCCATCCAGTTCATGTTAGCTGCAGCCAATTGTGTAAGAAAAAAAAAAGTTTATATTGTATAGCTTATCACTTTTTTCGCTGCAGATTATTCCGTCACAACACATTGGTTGAACTATTTAATGCCAATTAGATATTTTTTTTTTTCAAATCACTAATCCAAATCACAAGTTAATAATAGCATTCAATCTGACAAATTTAATAATAGCACGTGTTTATAATACAACTTTTAAAAAGTGAACTAATTAATTAATGAACTGGAGTAAATTAATAGACTTTGACAATAAATATATGACTGAATTAAATGAGGTCAACCATCACATATATTAATTCACTTAAAATAGTCAAACTATGAAAAAAAAATTATCCTAACAACTAAAAAGTGCGGAAAAAATAATTTATAATACTATTAAAAATGTCGCAAGGCTGTAAATTTTATGATACTACATATCCCTATAAATATATTGACCTTCCATTTATTTAACTACATATCCCTATAAATATATTGACCTTCCATTTATTTAAAATCATATACATATATGGAGGGAATTAAAAGAAAATTATATATATATATAGGGGGTGGATCCAATGAGACCACTCCTTAAAATGAGTACGTGAGACTCAATCTTAGCCACTTATTTTGTCTAGATCAAAATCAATTAAAATATACATTAATTAAATAATAAAATAGTTGACCGTTGACTCCGGCGTTGACCGTTGACTTCCGGCGTTGACTTCCGGCGAGAATCGTTGACTTCCGGCGTTGACCCGTTGTATTGAAATAAATAACCTAGCAACAAAAGACACTCAACCTTGAGTGGTGTAGTGGTTGCATTGCTTGTCTTGCCTCCATGAGATACCAGGTTCAAATCCTATGGGTTATAATTTTTTTATAAAAAAAAAATACAACTAACTTAGCAACATCAGACAACTAACCTAGCAACAAAACACAACTAACTTAGCAGCATCAGACAACTAACCTAGCAACAAAACAAAACTTAGCAGCAAGAAAGAACAACTAAACTACAACTAACCTAGCAACAAAACACAACTAACTTAGCAATTATCAGACAACTAACCTAGTAACAAAACACAACTAACTTAGCAATTATCAGACAACTAACCTAGCAACAAAACACAACTAACCTAGCAGCAAGAAAGAACAACTAAACTAGCAGCAAAACACAACTAACCTAGCAGCAAGAAAGAAATAACCTAGCAACAAACAAAACACAACTAACCTAGCAGCAAGAAAGAAATAACCTAGCAACAAAAGACAACTAACCTAGCAGCGAAAAGAAATAACATAACCTAACCATAAAAGACAACTAACCTAGCAGCAAGAAAGAACTAATCTAGCAACA